CCCCAAACCCCCCCGCCGGCCCCGGGGGCTGCCGGCGAGAGTCCTTGTCTCGTATTTTCAGCAAACGACGGAGGCGACGAAACAAACAAGTCCTTCAGCTTATGACTGACCACAAGTTCCTTCCCCTTTTCCGTCGAATCGCGTTCTCCAACGAACCGATCCGGCGAACAGACTTCCCGTCGCGGCAGCCTACGACCACTTCCGCCGCCGCCGATACTACGGCTGAGGAGCATACGGAGAGTCTTCCGTCGGCGGAGGTGAATAACTGGGCTTGTTGTTGGGCTTCGCGTTGGACTTCCTGCTACTGCACATTGAGTTGCGAGAAGCTTGAATTTCTGTAAAGTAGCCATTTTCGTTGCGATCTGAAGTAAGTATTTCTACAAATTAAACAGTACTAGTAATTTTTTTTGGTTAGCAAAAATGGGAGTGAAGAGAGGGGGAATTGGGAAGGGAATTCAGAGGATTTAGTAAGGCCGAAGAATATGGACCGTCTGTTTTGGGTCTTTTAAGGCTTTTCTTTATCCTCCCCACTTATAAGCCTGCCGCGGTATTATACTGAAACTGAAACGTGGCCTCTTTTCCCAAGTTAGGAATCACTCTTCATTTGTGGGTCCAGTTTTTCTTCCTTTTTACCATACTGTATTAAAACTTTTTTAGTTTTGAATTTAACCTTTATGTATACATATTGTTAACCTAAAGTAATTTTTACACAAATCTTATAGTGTTAAAAGAGGTAATTACATTTCATTCATATTTTTTTTTCTAAATTATAAAAATTCTTAAATTTGGTAGAATTCGGATACATCCAAAAATGTTCTGATATATCGCATCCCAATTTCAGATACATTGCGTACGTCCTGATAGATCACCTATAGTGATATATCCGGCCGATACATCGCATAAAGTGATATATTACGTTTCGATACATCACATATAGTGATGTATTACGTCTCGATACATCGCGTATAGTGAAGTATTCAACTGATATATCGCGTAAAGTGATGTAATCGAGAATATGAGAGAGTAGGAATTCTTATAATCCTTTCAAATGGTAGAGAACTTTAGAGAATATGATAAAATAAGTTATGTATTTAGATAATTTTTTCTATTGTTAATACATATCGTTAATGTAGAATGAGTTATTGTAAGAAGTTTTAAAACTATATTGTATATGAATTTTGTTTATATTAAGAATAAATGGCCACTTGTATATTCCCTAAGTTTCAATTCCATGTTCTATGTATACATATGGGTTGAACTTGTTCGTGCATATTTATCCTAGTTTGGGACCATTATAATTCCTATGTGCGATATGTGTATACATTGACTGGACCCGTTCATTCTTCCTTATCAAAGATAGATGAAAGGACCACTCTCCATTCTTTAATTCCAAAGATGCGTTAATTAGTTATCATTGAAAAATGAAAAAAGTTGTCAATTAGTAGTTAATGAAAGTTGGGGTTGAGTTAGGTTCCAAATTCATATTTTACATGGTATCAGATGAGGACTCATCTCACCCTATATATGTTAGACCTGAAAAAATATCACATACGAGTTTAATTATGTAAAAGTGAATTTTGAATTTCAAACGTAATTGTTTTTTACATTTTATTTATTGGGATAGATGATTCAACCATGTTATTGTGCCTTTGAGATCAAGATTTAAGAGGAAGCAAGAAGAGTAAAGTTTGGATTTTGAATATTTAAAAGTTAATGTATATAATTGCATGCGTATGTGGAGTAGTTGTCCATCAACGGAAGAAAATAGGATGATGACCATCTCATTATTCGGCGTTAACGCTATTGTCACCAGTATCGTAACTTACATTATCACATTTGTCGTTTCCCCACTAATTTCTTATCATTTCTCATGTTTGTTGTGTTTGTGTTAACATAAGTGATTTGTTTTGCCTTTGAAATGTATCCACGTGTAGCATTTAATATCACTTCTTGTTTAAGGCAATATTTGAAAAAGTAAAATAAAAAATTGTCGACTTTACCATACTTTTAATATTGAATTTTCTCAATTTGAACTACAACGTACGTTTAAATATCTTTTTGTTATTAGCTTAGTTTATGGATATAAGTATCTCAAATAACCCCATAGGCGTTAACATTTTTATGAAAAGACTGAGCAACCAAATTAGTGTAGATTGCTTATTTCAAGTGTTTTTAGGTTAAAATATCTTTTAAACAATTTAAAGTATTTGAATAAAATTAAAAATTGCTTATACTTAATTTAAAGTCAAAATAACAAAAATAAGTCAAAAGTCAATCCAGACAGGAATTTCTAGGGAGTAAATTAGAGTAAGGCGATTTATTATTACTAGAGGAATGTCATATTTGCATTAATTGTATGTCAGGTAGAAGCTAAAGAAAGTAGGTGGTAATCGGAAAGCAAGTCAAGGCAGACGGCAGTAGACATTCTCTTTGTGAGGGGTTAAAATTGCTTCCATTTTCTTTTGTTAGTTTTCCTCGACTTGGAAAAAGTTGAAACATTCAATTCTATGATCAGCAAGTAAAAGCCAACAGGTATTGAGCTCACCTACTTTGCAGGATCACAAGGAAATTTCCACAATTACTACTGTCTACTGATGAATGACATTCTAGGATTAACTGCTTCCAAATCGAGATTTGAAAGTCCATCAACTTTCTCAAAATTCTCCTCTGAAATGACATAAACTAACTAAGCAAACTATTGTGGCCGGCGAGGAAGGGGGCCAAGAAGTCCTAGAATTTAGAAACAATCTCTTTCAGCAATAAATGCAAAGTAAAGTTGTAAACGATAGATCAATCAATGTGGTCCTGCAGGTGTATTCTCAAATTGAAATTTATGAGTTTTTATAATGATCTCATGTTAATATAAGTGGTTACTGAGTTTTCAATTAAATATTTATATATATATTTAGTGAATTTTTTTTGAGGAAAAACTAATGAATTCAAGTGAACGACTATAATATATGCTAGCTCTGCTCTCTAGAGCAATAGGTAGGGTGTTCCCACGAATTGGAGTTCTGTTCCTTTTTTCTCTTTACAATTTAATATCAGAGCATGTTCCTTAGGCAAAACCTAGCACTCCAAGCTACGAATAGGCTTAGAATATGTTCTGCTGCAGTGCATTATTGTTGTTACATATGATTTTCATGTCCTCAACATAAATGAACTTTAAGGTAACAGAAGGACCATAAGGTCGGTAAAGAAACAAAACCTGATGTACAAAGAGCAAAAGATGCATATGTATACTAGAATGTTGGCAGCCCTATTCACTATTTATATACATTGCCTTACGCGAAAAGCAGTTTTAGATAATCTCCCACAGAAAATATTGACGATAACAAGATAACTATATGTAAGCAAAAATAAGAAATTAATTATCTATGGAAGACGCGAGATACTAGCCCAAACATGACACTGATCACAAGTGCCAAAATAGTAGTTGCTTCCACACCTAGCATTGAATTCAACCAACCTGATAAAGATATTTCATCCACTAGAATGTGGTGTGGAGCTGTCAACTCATTTGTCAGCGGCAACTGAATCTGGAGAAGAAAAGGGGCCCTCCTTTAGGAGCCCAACATCATCTACCACAATATCCAGTACCTCAGCATTGTGTGCTTTCGACTCTCCATTCTGGATGCCTCTCAATGTCTCCAGCACTTCTTGCATTGAAGGTCTCAGATCTCTCTCTTGTTGCAGACATCGGAAAGCTAACTCAGCGACTAATGTAGTCATCCTCCTCACGGAGCTGTTTGTTGAGAATCCAAGACTTGGATCAACTAACTCATGTATTGAATGGCCTTGGATCTTGTTGACAGCCATATTAGACAAATTAATATCATGGCGGTGCCTGTTGGTATCCACAGCTTCTAATGATGAGATCAGCTCTACCAAGACCACCCCAAAACTATAGACATCACTCTTTTCAGTGAGCTGGTAACATTGGTAGTATTCAGGATCAACGTAGCCTGGTGTACCCTGTGGAGCAGTAGAGACATGTGTGACATTAGTTGGGAACAGTCTTGATAGCCCAAAATCAGCAACTTTCACATGGAAATCATTGTCTAACAGAATGTTGTTGGTTTTGACGTCACGGTGTATTATAACTGAGGAGTGGAGATAAGCCAGAGCTTCAGCAGTCTCAATGGCTATGTTCATTCGGATAGGCCAAGAGAGTAAGCCAGATTTGGCCCGTTTACCATGCAGATGATCTGCCACAGTCCCGTTTGGTATATACTCATAAACAAGCAGTAACTCTCGGCTTCGTTTAGATGTACACCCATACAACATCACTAGGTTCTTGTGGCGGAGCTGAGTTAAAATCTCTACTTCATTCATGAACTGCTCCACACGCTTGAAATTGTTCTCATACAAGCGCTTGACTGCAACCACGCGACCATCATGGAGTTTGCCTGATAACAAATTACTTGGAATTGTTAGGAAGCCCTCTCACAAAATAATAATAATGCAAGAAAGAGAATACACATACCATAGTACACGACACCAAAACCACCATCCCCAAGTTCTTTAGATGGATCAAAATTATTCGTGGCTTCTTCAAGTTCAGCAAAACTGAAGACATGAGCCCCAAAGTAGGAGCTTCCCCTCCCGTAATCAGCTTCAGATTTGGAAGAGGGATAAGAGGGAATGCTTCTGGTGAAAGTGGTTGAAGAAGGAGTAGAAGAGGAACTCAGGCCGTTGCTTGAACTTAAAATTGGAAGATCCTTCCTTTCGGTTTGGGCAAGTGAAGCCTGTGATGCAATCCGCTTTCTCTTTTGTCTGCAGAAGAAGACTAGCCACCCAACACCAATGCTGGCAAGTACAGCACCTCCTACACTAATGCCTGCAATCGAAAGAAGAAAGTTTACAATCTTCTCAAGGCATTGACCGTGTCTATTGAGTTGTACCAGTATAATGTTAGAACAAAGACAATACCTACTGCAAGTGGCATCTGATTTTTCTTTCGGTTATCTGCAAAACAGTCATAATGTCGTCAATTAAGTGGTAACTACAATTGATGCTCAGGTAAACATAAGGTATATCCGGCTGGAATTAGGAGAAACAAACAAAACTCATGTGGCGAAATGGGTGTATTCGCTAATAATAGATCTGAGAAGTATAAACTATAAGAAAGAAGCATACTGTAACAAGAATTCCTAGGGATACCTGAAGAGAACATACCATGGAAATCTAAAAACTAACATGAAGATTCTAGTAAATCATATTGGATTACGCTTCGTTTCAAGTTCACTTTTGTGTTAGCAAGTCGCATAGTGTTTTTTAGGTATCCCTTAATCAAAGACCTATATAATAGGTGCTATAAGATAACAACTACTCATACAGTCATAACAAATATAAATGCAAAAGCATGAAATTATAATTGGAAACAACCTCTCTATCTTCACAAGGTAGGGCGAAGACTGCGCACACACCACCCTTCCTAGACCACACTTGTAAGATTACACGGGATACACTACACATATACCAATCAACCGCAATGTAATCATGTTGGAGTAGAACAAACAATGTCATAGACCATGAACTCAGGATTCATCAACTAGAACAATCGACACCTATATGTACCGATTCTCTAACTGGGTTACTGTTAAGCTAAATCCATTCAGTCCTGAATTTCAAACTATAGATTTCTATGTTTAATAATAAGAACTCCTGATTAGTAGTAAAATTAAAGGATAAAGTTCTCAGTTGTCAGTACCTTGTGAGGAACTTTCATGAGAATGTTCTCGAAGAAATGTACAAGGCATTTCTCCACAAATACAAATTAGCTGAGACAACCCCACAATAAATCCGCAATTCACACCCAGACTCTTGCACTCAGAACAGCGCCTATCATAAGGGGTATCATATTTCACACTAAACCCCTGCATCAATGCCTCCCCAAGAGTAATCTCATTGCTATATAGCATTTTACCCACTGTTCTAAACATCGGAACAGTGACCATAGTTGTACAAGTTATGACATTCAGAAAAGGGTCACTTGGAATTGGACCTAGTAAGTAAAATGCGCCGGTGAAATTCAAACCATCTACACTACAGTTGAACAAATTCTGAGGCGTGATAACCAATGCAGAGACATCGCAGCCGTAGCTCAACGAAAGTTCTTCGTCTTCGTTACGGTCAATGTTGAAAAGAGAAGAATTAAAAGTAGTGTTGATGAATTGCGAAGGGCAGGAATTTTTCCAGAGGTCGATTCTCGATACAGTCATGGTCGTTGATGACTGATTAATAGAAAGAACACGGTAAGTAAGTGATTGGTGAGTAAACTCGGTGTGTTTGTCGTCAACACATCGGAGTTTGAAATCCGGGAGGCCACAGTAGTTAGGGCGATCGCCGCCGGTGAATGGGTAGGTGATGTTACGGATGGAACCACAGGAGAAAGTGAGATGACAATTGGGGAATAAGACGTTGTCATCAGAGAAGGAGAAGGAGAAGGATGTTGTGAGAATAAAGGTGGCGAAGAAGAGAGTAGTTGTGGTGGTGGCGCCGCGGCGGCCATTGGTAGTGGTGGAAGGGTAGGAGAGAGTCATTTGGAATACGAAAAGAGAATGAGTGAGTGAGAGTCATATCTGGAATTATTTGTAGTCTGTAGATTCATATCTGTATATTTATTGTTGACAGGGAATTTGGAAGATGGTGAGAATCTGAGATTACATTTGAAAGAGAGAGACAAAAAGGATTTGACTGAAAGTTGAATATTATTACTGCACGTTGAATAGGAAAAGAAAGAAGGTTGATAGACGCCTAACTTAATAAATGAAACATAAATATACCTTTTCACTTGGTCTAATATACATTTATTTCATTTAATTTTGAATATACACAAATATATATTTAAATTTGTACAAAAATAAAATAAGTAGACATACGTGTCACGAATTAACATATAAGATGTTTATATCTATATGTTCAATTCTATATAAATTTAAGTAACTACTTATTATAAATAGTAGGGTAAGTTTATCATCCTTTGAATATATTAAATGATAAAAATATAATAGAGAAATAACTATAATTAATGATAAACGATAAATTATGAACTAACTGTAAAATTATCAATTGATTTCATAAAGTGGATAAGTAATGTTAGACATTCCAAAATAGTATAACGGACAATATCCAAAAATAGAAGAGTGAACAACAATTTGTATAAATCCAAAATTGAAGGACATAAATATGAAGTCAAGTTAAAATGAATATTTATTTATTATGCCAAAAAATTGAATGTTAAGGATCTATATAATTTATAAACCAAGACCAAAAGAGTAATTACTCCCTCTGTTTCATTTTACTTGGTCTTTATATTTTTATTTATTCATTTTAATAAATTATTTTTTTTAATTATATTTTGCCCATATTACTATCTTTAATATTAAATAACTACATAAACTAGCAATAATTAAAGTTAAGGTTTCAATATATTATTAATAAAAATTAATTCAATAAAAAATATTCTTAACCAAAACTGTCTTAATATTATGTCAAGTAGATATGAATTAAAGTAAAATGAAATCGGGGGAGTAGCACCTAACTTGGTGTGGTCAAACCTCAATAAAATTGAATCATAAAAGGTTTAGTGTGAATTCCACTAGAAACAAGAAAAAAAAATACCAACTGTAATTTTTTATATATGTTTAATGCATTGATCAATGAATAGAATTATCTGAAATCAAATTGTGTTTTTTAAAAGAGGCAGGTAGAGCGTCTATATATTATATAATAATATCACAGTAAAAAAGTCGTTTCAGTTTCCCTCGTTTTATTCAAGCGCCAACCAAGTTTGAATTATAACACAGAACTAACTTAAAAGTACAAGAACTACAAATAAAGAACTGTATCCTTGTTTACTTTGTCAATAAAAAGGTTCAATGAAATATATGTATTTTTTTCTGGTTAGTTAGAGAATTATTGTACTTTTCCTATTATTTATAATATTTTTTAATCCGAGGCTTATTCTACTCGGATTAAGAATAGTAGTTTCTTGTGTTTTGACAATGCCAAATGTTGAATTGCCGACGAGAAGTAAACAATACAACAATGGCAGAAACACAGACACAGTACTAAGTCTAAAATTAGGTCCCGAGTTTTTTATTTTGTTGTAGCAATAACATATCTTATTTTTCAAGATTTCAATTTCACATTTTAAGGAAGTTCGTATACGAATATTATTTGCATATAATATAAACGATTATTTACGCTGATATATAAAAAAAAAAAAAAGGAGCTATACTAACACGCTCAAGAATTGGAGCTGGACCAACGTAGATAGAGGGCTAGAGGTTGTAGTATTCAGAGTTTCATATGGAATTTGGACAAAATTAAACACGTACAAAATTTTATAGAGAGTTAAATTCTAGGTAAGCAATGCAAAAGAAGTACTTCCGTTGGTCCATATTATACGATATTTTTTAGTTAGTCCAAAAATAAATATTTTTTCAAGATAATTAACAAGGTATTAATTGGGGTTTTTCCTTTAAAGTTATCCTGATTTTTTCACATAAGCAAGAATTCATATAAAATTGATACTATACTGATTGCGAAAGAATCTTTACTAAGTTAGCGTATGTAATTCAAATCTCTTGGGAAAGGACTGGAATGATGGTTTGGATCGGACATGTATTTATCTGGAAACGAAGGGACGAAGTAAATTATGAGTAATAGTAGAGAGAAGATTACCGCCGGCTTGGTTTTGTCCGTCGTAGCAGTCGTTTGAATGAGTACCATTTACACAATGGCAAGCAAAGTCTCCAGAATCTGGATTGGATCCACATCTTCCACCTGACGTGCGGCATTGTTGGCACTTAGAGTCAATACCTGCCGTCCAATTAACTGAAAAACCGCCAGCAATGGCTCTTGTCAGAGCATCCACGGAAGCTGTAGGACTGGCTAATGCCACAGCACTCGTTTGATTGACCCTAGCTATTATTTCTTCCTCGCATGTTACCAGACTAAGGTCGAAGGGAACGTTGATCAGCGTGTATATACCAAACATGTTGCTATCGCAATTGAACCTATTTGGAGGCGAAGGTGGTAATTGCAAACCAGGGCGGACGGTGCAGTGGAAATACAGAGTAATATTCAGGTCACTAGAAACATAGCTGAAAGTGTTTAAATCAAAGGAGGCATTCTTAGGATTATCCAAACAAATACTACTCAGTAAATCATCCCGAGCCAGGGTTACAATTCGATTAGGAGCGTTGATATTTATCACTTCGTAGCTTGTTGATTCAATTGCAATTTTGGGTATGTTACTTTCGCACTTGATCTCAAAACTTGGATGACCACAATACTCTGGTTGTCTCCCTCCCCAAAAAGGGTAAATTATATCCATGCTGCCGCAGCGAAACTCCTCACCACAACTCCTGTATCGCTCGTCATCTTGACAGAAAGACCCGGGTATATAGATCAAGATAAATATTGTGGTAGTGAAGAGCAAAAAATAAGGATGCATTTCTGTTTGATTAAGGGAACTAGCACCACCTAGAAAGAGAGGCGCTAACTGGTAATAGTGGCAAAAGAGCTTTATTCAGGAGCTAAGCTGAAAGGAGATGAGGATTTAAGGGACAGAGAAAGGAGGTTTGGAAGAGAACACCAAATTGAGATATAAAATTCAATGATAAAGATGGGGTGCTGTATTTGTCATGTTTTGGTCAACATATAGCTACCAGTAGAACGATCTTTTGACGAAACAGATGACAAATTTCGCATATATTTACAAGACAAGAAAAGGGTGATATAGAAGCTTCTATTGGAATTTAGGGGTGCTAGACTTGGTCTAATTCAACAAACACCGTGTCCTAAAAAATATCATATTACTTTAATTATATATAAAACTACTAGCATGACTCACGAAATTCAATTAATAACTATGATAAGAGTCGTCTATTTATATTTGGTGAGTAGGAACTAATTGGTCCCGTGAAAGAAACCATTTAGCTAAGACAAGAGTGGTCATAAAATCAAGACATGTATTATGCACTAAAAAAACAGATGAAGTACCCCAAGTCATGTGCTAAATAGTTCATTCTAACGTGTCAAAACTTGCGTTACATGACGGATGATAAGATATCCCATGATTGCTCCACACTGCCATTTTCTTCATATACAGAAATCCACTTTAAAGCTTATAAGTTGGTCAAATTAGTTTATAATCACTTTTTGACACACTTATTTGTTTGGTAACACCAAAAGTTCTTATAAGTCAAATTCAACCAAATGACATAATTCGGTCACCTTTAAGTTATGATTTTACAACTCATAAACACTTTCGGCCATTTTTACCGAAAAAAGTGTTTATCAACAGGTTTTTACCAAATACAACTACTTGCACTTCCGTCCACATATGTAATTGATTATTTATATAATCAACTTCAACATCTAAAATTACTTTTCAGCTCTTGAGACTTATCAACTACTTTTTAATCAGTCAACCCAAACGGGCTCTATGTCTCGAAAATTAGAGATCTGTGTGGTCGTCAATTTGGTGACAAGTATTCAAAATGATAGTGGCTACATCGTAAACTAAAGGTTAAGATGAGAATTTCAGGCGGAAATGTGATCACAGTAAGGATGGACAAACATCCATCTTCAAAACCAGAAGATAATAGGATTAAGAAATATGTTGCAGCATGGTAAACAAATATATCGTGGGAGAAAAGTTGGTATAAGTATTTCCTGAAATAAGTATGAATTACACTCTACAAAGGAGATGAACAAAACCAAATGAACGTGTGAAATCGGATGCATATATGTGATCCCACGCCACAAAAGAGTGCAACTTCAGTGTGGATCACTCACCTACTTCCTCCCCAATTATGATAGTAGCTCAAGTTCATGACACATTTAGCGTCCACAAGGTTTCCCTATTTCTATGGCCAATATTGAAGAAGTGAAAAAGCTAATGTATCAAGGTAAGTTTGTGTGAAGAGTCCCACATCGTTCCTTTAAGGGATGAGTGGTTTCTTCAATATGGCTCGGACAATTCTCACCTTTTGAGCTAACATTTGAGGTTGATTTAGGCCCAAAATCCATTTCTTTGAGAGGAGGTGCGAAAAGTCATACATCAGCCCTTCAAGGGATGGGTGATCTCTTTTATACGGCTAGGGAAACCTCTTGAGCTAATCTCTTGGGTTGAGTTAGGTTTAATATTCATTTATCTTCTTTTCACCGGACAATAGGTTTAATATCCATTTTATCTTCTTTTCACCAGACAGATTACGAGGAGAAAAAAAGTACATTTATCTTCTTTTCACCGGACAGATTAGGAGGAGAAAAAAAAGAGTACTAACTTGTAAGATGCTATAACAGATTTATCTCCTGGACATGCTCTGCCATTAAGGAGAATGTTAAGAATTTATATGCCCAAATACTGATATCTACTATAAGAGCCTTTGCTGCCTTAGAACCTAGAGACACATGTTAAAGTTGTGAGGGTCTAGGCTCAAAGCGGACAATATTAATACTGAGTTGAGCCTACAGCAACTCTATGCTAAAAATTAGAAGAGAAATTGGAGAACATTCAACTGTAATGTATTAATTCGTACTAATTCAACCACGACTCAAACTAGTTGTAGTTGGATGTCTTAATTTGTTTTACTGAGTCTTCATACTAGAGATATATATCAACTACATCATCCATGTGAAGTTAGCTAACCAACTATTACAATAGTTAATTTCAGCCTTGAGTGGAAAAAATGTTCAATGTAGAGAAAATAAAAAAAGAATATCTCAATAATAGACTTTATGATTAATGGTTGGTTGGTGGAGGTATACCTAATACCAACTAAAATGACAGCTACGTAAAACTAGACTTAAACAGTAGCGGAAGTGATACATTATTTCAGAGATGAACGTAACAGAAGATTGGATTACTAAACTAATCTAGGAGATTACAATCAAGTTGAGACATTGATAAGCGTTTAACTTTACCCTATCAGTTTATATAATATAATCTATGGATCTACATGGGATAAACATTGGTCCTTTTTGTTATCCTCGAGTTAGCTCAAGATTATCAAATTAGCTAATTAGTCAATTCGACACAAGAAAAAGTAAACCCCATGGAGTGAGTGAATCAAATCCGTTGACTAAGAAGGCAAATTGAGCCGGAAATAGTTTTAGGAAAACAAGAACATTTACCTGGGGATGGAGATGGTATAGATATTGGTAATGGTGGTGCGTATCCATAAGTAGGAAGCCCAAAAGTAGCAACTGGACAAGAAGCAGATGCATACGGAGGACCAGGACAAAAGCAAGTTGTTTGATTCGAATATTCATCATATCCACATCTTCCCTTTTCATCGATACATTTACTGCAGGTTTTACTATCAAGTTTCCATCTTATTTCAAACCCCTCTTGTAGTACTTGTGCCAAACCTGATGAATTCAATGATCCTATATTACCAACACTCATTTGAGGCACTGGAACTGTGACACTGGCATCGCACTTCCCCGGGCCTACAGCACCAGGCTGTACGAAAACATTGTGATATTTGCTTTTTCTACAAGCAAAAGTACCATCCATTTCCGCAAAGTGTGATGCAACAGGGCAATCATATAGAAAGGTCAAATTCGTATAGCCAGAGGCGAAATCGAAGAGGGAGTAATCCAGAGTGGTGTTAACCAAATCAACAGGACAAATTGATTCCATGATATCCTCCCTCAGAATCCTTATCGTTTGGGTTGTTGGAAGTATGTTTAAAACTCGATACTTGATGTTTTCGATTTCCATTGTAGTACTACCATCCTGATTGCAGTTGAGCTCAAAACCAGGATAGCCACAGAAGGAAGGATCATCGACACTCATAAAAGGATAACTTAATCCCTTAATATTGCCACATGTATACGTTTTCCCACAAGTCTGGTAGAATTCATTAGGATTACTCGAACCTTGAGGTACATGAATTAGTATAAGTGATGAAAACAGAGTGAGCAAAGAGTAGAAGTAAAAGCTTTGCCAATTCATTTGGAGAAAATTGAGAAATGGATGTGGCTAAAGGAAGGAGGCAACGGATTATTAAACAAGACTATGGTGAGTAGAAAAGTAGGTGGAAATAAAGCATGAAGAAGATGATATACATAGGAAATTGGGTGATAAAAATGACTTCACTTAATGATACTACACATTTTCTTTATTGTGGATGTCATGGAAAAAAAAATCACATTGACTGAATCTAAACTGTGGAGGAAATCAAAGGTGCTCTCTTAAGGAAAATGAAAACTTACCTAGATAGTTGATTTTTCGGTTGTGGAAAAGAAAAAAAGAAGAGAGGATCAAAGTTTTGGTGCATCTTTTTTGTCCTTTAGTATTTTTTTAATTTCTTATTTATCTGGGATTAGGCAGTGTACTATATAGATAAGTCAATTGGAAATTACTTGTACATTAGAAAACGATTGGAGGTTTGTTAAGCGTTTCTATCTAATTAGGACAACTATGTCATGGACTATCCAACAACCACATATACTATAATTTGCTTATGAACAACCAGGTTTGGTGGCTTTTACCATTTCTAAGTCCATAGATGACTCATATGTAGGATCATTTGGTGAGTTTTATGAGTCCAAACATAAATATTAGGCTAATTCTTGGAAATAATTTACTTGGAATAAAGATGCACCAAATGGAAGGTGGAGAAGAAGGAGATTTTAGAAGTAGCGGTAGAAGGAAACAACAAAGTGCAAGGAGAGTCTCATTCTAAAGTAGGAAAGCTTTCTACCTAAAACAAAAGGGGGTCTAATGGTAGAGAATGACAATTTCGGAATAAAATATAATAGAGTACTATTTTGTCCCCTATTTGATTGAATTTCATATTCCAATATAAACAATACTTAACTCCGATAAAACAACAAAATTACAGGTTTGACCTCTCCAAAAATTTTCTTCCAAAGACTTCTATGAAATCCAAGGTTACAATTGGAAATAAAACACGTTTCAACCTTCCCCAAAGATGATTTTAGTTTTGAATTTATGTGTCTAAAACTTCATATATACATGTTTGAAGTTCAGCATTGTCTAGCCAAATTTCTGGCGTTATTCACATAAAAAAAATGGAAGCTAGCTAACACAATCAATATACTGAACTTCAAACGCAAAATTTTACAACTCCAATCCTGTGTGCTTGACGTTATTTATAAATTGGCTAAATTTATAAACTTCCATGATGACCAAAACCAATTATTTTTGCACTTCCACTGGATGAGAAGGAACTGGGCTTCTAATTTTACTAAGTAGTGCTAGTTCAACAAAGCCAAGTCCATAAAAGCCCAGCGTTAGGATGGAATTAGAGAAAAGTTAATTTTTGGCCAGAGTTACATCTTCTAAAGTAGGGGTGTACAAAAACCGAACCGAAAATCGAATCAAACCGCAAATTGAGTCAACCCGAAAAAGAACCCGATTAGTGGTTTGGTTTGACTTGGTTTGGTATTGGGAGAAAAAACCCGACTATATTTGGGTTGGTTTGGTTTTAACTAAAAAAAACTAAACCGAGACCAAACCAACCCGACATTATATATGTAATTTTAAAATTTTATTTTATACATAAAAATATTTACTTTGATATAATTTTAAATTATTTCTTATACTATTTCATAGTTTTTATCTTTTAATATATTATTTCAAGTTTAAAACTTAGAATTCAGAATGGTCCAATAAAGATTATAATTCATAGATGTTGATAATTATAATAAAACTTAAATCAAAATCAAATTAATACTAATGCAAAAAGAAAATCAATTCAACACTAAGAATGACAATAATATTGAATATTAGTTTTACATTGGTTTGGACAATTCAAATACATAATCTAATTTTAATTTTCCTTAAATATTTAGTAATGTAACTAATACTTATTAAATTGTGTTATTTTTTTAAGAAACACCTTAGATAATTGTATTTTGGTTGGACTAAAGAAATATTTGGAGCACAAGTTAATTATATGTTTGTATGCAAACTTTACCGAAAAATCCAAAATCTGAAAAAATCCGAGGTTTATTAGTTTGGTTTGATTTATAAATTTAAAAATTCGACACAATGGTTTGGTTTGGTATTTGAAAAACCCGAACCAACTCGAGGTTGAAAAACCCAAAAAAATCCGAATTTTATTAGTTTGGTTTGGTTTATAAATTTAAATTTTTTACACAAATGGTTTGGTTTGATATTTGAAAAACTCAAACCAACCCCGTCATGTCCACCCCTATTCTAAAGTATGGGTCATTTGCACTTTTACTTATTTTGTTTGGATCTATAATTTTTGTATCTTAAGATAAATATATATTTTTTCCGTGATATATTATTAAATTATATTTTTGCATAGTAATATTTCATAATTTATGTCCTTGCTCCTTGACGTTAAGAAACTTATGCCTCGCTAGATATAAGTTTGGCGCAAAAATTGAAACTCATTTGAAAGACAAAAAATTAAGATTGACTCACTTAAAAGGCAAAAGGTACCATTAAAAAGATGATGTGTCTAACATAAAAAAGTGTACATATAAATGTTTCTTTCAATTCGAATGGAGAAATCCTTATCGGCACCGCTCTTCCTTCCATGACGATTACCATCCGCTTCTCTCCCAACGCTCAACCATAATTAAAATAATAAATGAAAATATAGATTTTAGAATAGAATACTCTCTTTCTCTCTATGTCATTGGAGATGATTTATGGGAGAAATTCAATGGCCTAATGAAATCTTTTTGGCTTCTACTATCAAGATATACAAATTTAATACACTATTACTATTACTATTATTGATTAAACAGTTTTATATTTAACTAGTGCTATCAACTTGTTAAATGAATGCAACTAATTCACTTATAGTTCTCTTAATTAGATTAACTAACAATATAAGAATTCAAAATTAATTGTCGGAAAAATGCAGATATTAAGAAGGAAATCGGAAAAACGTACCAGGCGGTGTAGCCAGGGATGAAAGCGGTTTACTCTTTTCAGTTCCAGAGAAAGGAAGTCCATTGATGCACGCATTATTGGACGATGACGACGACGAAGAAGAAGAAGATTGATCATCAGGGCACAAACACCTAAATTCATTAGCACCGGCATCAAATCCACAACGTCCCCCAAACTTTTCACATTCCTTACAATGACTAGTATCCACTTTCCATTTCACATCAAACCCCTGTTCCAGCAACTGCTTCAAATCCCCCAAATCTCGAATTATTCCTCCAGACGGTAACTCCTTTCGACCTGGTACAACTATACTAGCATGACATGTCCCAGCTCCCTCTTCACCTCCAATTGTAAAACTATTCTTATAATTCATTCCATTTATCGGACAATTGAACGATCCGATCCAAGGCGAGCACGCGTAATCGAATGTGAAATTCACTAAGCTCGAAGCATACTCGAATGTATTGGAATTATCTATAGTTGAGTTAAATTGACAAATTCCATCTATACCTAGATCTTTTCTAGTAACTGTAATAATTTGAGCATCCAAATTAATATCCAGAACAAGGTAATTTATGTTCGCAATCTGTATTATAGTCTTTTCCTGATCGTCACATTGAAGCTCGAATCCAGGATAACCGCATTCCTTCGGTCGATCATTTCCCCAGAAAGGATAAGTAATTTCTGTTATGTTTGCGCAGTTGAAGGACTTGCCGCAGCTGGAAAACAACTTGTTTTCGACGGAAGAGAGAGGAGAAAGATGAATTATGATGAAGAAGAGTACTGTGCAAGCTAGAATTCGAAAAGAGGAAAGGCCTTCCATTTTGAATGCCCAGAGCTAAAAAGGTGTTGTGAGTAGCTAGTAGCACTATGTTTGCCTGTAGAAGGTACAAATAAATAAATGTTGGGCCGAATTTATAAGTTAGAAGCTGAAAAGATAAAATTGTCAGTAAGATATTGACGATGACATAAACAAGAATTAGGGGACTACATTGACTTCTTAAATAAAAATAATCCAGATTAAGCGCAATTACTGAATGATTAAAATATTTTAGGCGGTTAATGTATAGAAGTTCGAAATATTCTTTGGAGGAAAATATGTATTTTAACATATTGTATCATGTTACTCCTACTATATTATACGACGTATGACGTATATCTCTACTTAAGACTCAGCTTAGATACCATTTATTGAAATTGTTTTACACAGTTTTGTCTTTCCATCACTTTGTCATTCGCGATGGTATACTTCATTAGAAAATGCAAAATCTTGATATTTTGAAAGAAAGAAATGAAAAGAAGAAAGTTTTTTCCACTCGTCTAAAGTAAAACTGCAAAGTTTTTGGTTCTTTTTCAACTTCTTAGAGAAATTATCATCAACTGACCAGTACAACTACAGAGAAAATAAAATACAAAAAGAAAAAAGCTTTACTTCTAAATTGACATTTTCATTCACGTAATTCGATCCTCAAAAAAGAAGTCGAGACTTTTACATTCTGCTATATATTAAGAAGACTTTATTTTTATTTATTAATAACATAAGTGGCATAATTATTGTTCGTTCATAAATAGCATAATTTATATACTCATATATACTATATATTGTGTATATACACTCATATATACTATATATTGTTGTTCACCATTTATTCTGTACTATACAAAAAATGAATTATACAATTTAATATAATATACATAATATTAAATTACCTTTATTATGAAATTCAAATTCTTCTATGTTGGATACTAAAAATATTTACACCAGAAATATACCATAATTATGCATTGCTTTTTAAAATACCAGCATCTCTTTCTATATAAATAGTGAGTTTGTGAGTGTTTATGGTATGAACTTAATTACATTAATATGTATTCGACATATACTATAATTAAAAAAAATTAATTTTTCAAACATTAAAGAAGTCATTAACCACAAAGATTATTTTTAGGCATAAATTTGGAACAAAACAGTAGTTAGTATTAGGTTAGTTTTCAGGCAATAAATTTGGAATATATCACTAGCTAAGCGTTAGGAGAGATAAACGAGTGTTCAGTTTGTATAGTAGTTGCATCAATTTATATTGGGGTGGGATCGTGAGGGTTTTTTTTTTTTTCAAGCTGTACACCTGCACCCAGTTCTTTTTGTTTGATGACTCGAACTCACTATCGAACGGCTAAAGGTTAGCAATATTGTCATGACTCACTGAATATAATTGTTATTATAACTATTTTATGCTAAAAAACTGCAATGAATATTTTAACATTGCTTAGTTCCGCAATCACGTGACTTTACAAAGAAAGCAATTACATAAGCTTGACAAGAAAAAAATTTAAATTAAAGCAAAAAA